GTAGTTGTATAATTATTTCAAGGTTAAAGAATGAAAAAGGAGGAGATTTCTTAAATGAGATCCTAACATTAAAATCATTAAAAAATAATTTCTCATCTATACTAAAATTTTGGGAAATTTTACTTAGCTTCTGTGAATCTCTTTTTTAAAAGTTTCATTTGAAAAGAAGACATGTTAAAATATATTTCATCTCACTAGATAATTTTAATAATTAAGTTTAATATGGTACATAAAATTTCTAGTAGAGTACTTAGCATACAGTAGGCACCAGATAAATTTTAGTTTGCTTTTTTTTCCTGACAGTTCATAGCAACATGTGTTACAGAAGCCAGTTCCTGAGGAACCTGATGTTTAAAAGTAGTAGGCAACAGATACAAGAGATGCTGTGTTTTGTGGTCATTCAGTAACTAAATTTTTCCAGAGCTCAACTTTACTGTGATGGTAACTCTTTGGAGTCCATAGCAATAATAATTGTTTTATAATTCAAAACGTAACAACCACCATATACTCACGTGCTTGCTGTCTGTGAGAGAATCAGTAGGCACTTATTATGCTTTTTAAATTTAAATCTCATAGCAGTACTACAATGCTTAGTGTAAAAGTCTCATCAATAGGTAGAGGGCTTTTAAGTGTGAGTTTTCAGGCTGTGATATGAAGATGCAAGAAATGTTTCTGTTTGAATAAATTTATGACATTTTATTATGCCAAGTCTCAGTAATGAGGCCAAGGCAGGAGAAAAAGAAGGGTGGAATAGGGGAAGGAGGGCTGCGATATGGGGAAAAAATGAAATGGAGGGATAAGACTGTCTTGTGGATGAAGTGTCAGTAACCATGGAATAGATGGGGTTATGGGAAGATGGTCATTCGTCTCACGTTGTCCTACCATGATGTTGACTCTATCGGCATATTAAAAGCATCATTAAGGACAAATAATACTTGACCACCAGCTGAAAATTTTAGTTAGTAAATTTTAAAAGTTCACTATATTTCATTTTGTAGTACTTCAGGGTTAACAACTTGCTGGAGTTAGCCATCATTTTCTCCATTCAAAAAGTAAACATATGATGTTTAAAAATGTTTGAAACATATGATGTTTCAAAAAGTAAACGATATGATGTCTCCAGAAGGCTAGGTGGTTTGGCGGTGACCCTACGCCTGGGGTAGCTTAACCTCAACTGCAGCCACGTTTTCATTTCATGTCACTATTGTCCCTACATGTCATCATAGGCTGGCACTACCAAAGTGTGCTGAGTTCTATATCCATGTCTATTTATCTATATCTGTATATTTGCATTTTCCATATCACTATTCAACATTTGTTTTAAAATTAGAACAATCATAACACTCCATCACACACTTATACCACGTGTGTCTATACAGCCACACAGTTTAAAACCCTGTAGGAATCTCTGGATTCCCTATGGCTGACTTATCTTGCTGAAATTACTTGGTAAAGCCTAGGAGCATCTGAATCTCCATTACTTTACTGGTGTACCTCGTTAATGGTATCACTTGATTTAGCATATCAGTGGTACCTTTTCGCCACAGGTGAGAAATCGAAATGCTCAAGGCCATTTAATTGCAGATGTTTCAAGTTGGTTACAGTGCAGCTGTAATGGTGAGTGATGCCGGAAGAGGGAGCGGTCAGTGAGAGGTTCCTCTTGCTCCTGATGAGAACTGATGATCCAATCTTAACTCACTAGACTTACGCTGATTCTATTTTTTTTTCCACTGTGCTTCCCTCATGTGTTCATGTTTTAAATACTGATCTATAAAGGAATGTCAAAGTGCCACAGAAACATTATGCAATTCTGTATTAAAAATGTGTTCTCATTACTGACTTTAGACCATTAAAATTAACTAGAAAGAGCAAGAAACAAAATAACTCAGTATTTTCTCAAAGGTATAAGGTGATGTAGATAAAATTCCAAACATAGAAATTCCAGGTAAAGATGACGGCTGGCTGGGGGCACTTCATTCATTCTTTTCCAACTTTTCTATGCAAAAAATGATAAAAATGCAGAGGGATAGGCAGTTGTAACACATATGCAGCTATGCTGCTGATGGACCAAGGATGCTTGGTGAACATCAGACCCTGGAAGACTTTCAGCTTGCAAACTTTTGTTAGGCCCTGAGGCAGAATTGTAAAATTAGATAGGACAGTAGAGGGAAGTTTTTACCCACTCACCACTCCCATCATGTACCCATACTTCAAAGACATGGTCTATTGTTAACTCTAGAGAGGAAGGTTGACCCTACTGTCAGGTAGCCAAATCCTGAGATTCCCCAACCCCTATTGCTACTGTCTTTTCTACATCCATTGGGAACCGCTGATTCCCATTTATATATCATAACAATATGGGGGACACTGCTGTGTCCTAGTTAAGAGCACTGTGCCTCTTGTTGCTCTGCAGACAGGCTGCATGAGCAGTGCCCTTTGTGGACAGCAAAGCCATGCTAGGTCAGTGACCCCAAGACACCCAAAATGCAGCCAGGGCCCATGTTTACCCAATAAGCCCTCTTACTTAAAATACAAGAATTTTTCACTCTAACCTAAACATGATAGATGGTATTGGTGACCAAGAGAACTCCACTCATCCAGGTCACTAGCCAAAACCACGGGTTCTTCAGGGGCAACTACAGAGAAAATGAAAAGTAAAAACACACCAATAAAAATTGCACAATGTATCAATATTTTGGATCAATAAGGAGAGCATTGTACTTTTGATGTACAAAGTGGAAGACACTTTTGAACAATGATTCCCTCCAAGAAAGAAGGAAATTTGAAAAAAATTCTGTAGTTCTAAAGACAATGTAGTAAGAAATCTCGGGACTCATACCCGAATACAATCAGGAGTTAGTGTGATGCTGTCAAGGGAGGAGACTGTTAGAATATAATACTTAAAAAAAATGCTGTCTTAACTCAGTTTGAGGCCCTGACTAGAAGCTGGTCTTGAGCAGCTGATTATGTCCAAACGCAACCCCTTCTTTTATTGCACTCACACCCTCTGTGGCCACTATGCATCAACCCTGATCATCCTGGAGCCAGGCCCAGACACCCGGACACAGCCCCTCTTCCCTGGAGCTCACAGAACTTAGCTTACCCCACCTCACTTGCCATACGTGAACTGCCATCTACGGCTTCAACTTGCCACCCTTTCTGTGGTGGCATTTCCCTCTATGGCCCTTCCTTGCAGTCTTCTCTTCTTTGAAGCTGTAAGTAACACAGAGTTCTGCTTTTTATCTCTCAGAGTGTCACTGTATTGTATCTGCCATCAGAAGGGTTTTTAAATCTTATTAAAGCAGTCGTTAATACAGATGTGTCCCTTTAGGTCTCACAAAGATATGTGCCTTACCGTAATAGCAAAATTGGGCATCTCTTTCTATTAGTGCCTGACTCAACGTTCATAAAACAGGGCATGGATGTCAAGAATAATGCTTGAATAAAAACTGTATATAAATTTATGGTAATCTCTATCTGAACTGTCAGAAGTTATTATCAGAGCCTCAAGGTGGATGGCAAAAGAATGGGGAAAAGAAAACATGTACTAATATTCTTACATGGTACGTTATGTAACAGATACTGCATTTTAATATATATTGAATAGTAGACAATTATGGATTCAAGAATGGGATAAACCCTATTTCATGTTTTTTACAGTGACTACATAATACTTACACAGTCAGCAATGTCAGTATTACTTAAATAAATTCCTCAAATAAAGCACTATTATAGTAAACTGGAAGAATGAAACGTCTTAACAAGACATACACTAGGTAATCATGTCTGTAATTTTCTGGTGTGCATTTGGATAAAACAAAACACAATAAATTCTGTTCTAACCATATTTCCTTGAATATACAACAGACTTCTGTTTTCACTTCTGAGTGCTCAAACACAATTTACCATGGCTCTCCTATCCACTGTCCTCTCACCCACCACCCCCCTTCCCAGATAGGATACAACTAGTGATGTGTTGGTAAACTGGCTGGGGTGGGAGTGGGTACTGATTTGCAGAGTTGGCCAATTTTCGTGGTTTAAATACTCCCACCATGGCCAACTGCAAAGATGGCTATCTTTAACAATCATCTTGCAAAATTGCTGAAAATGTAATGGTCTCTCACACGCTGTTGCAAGCCAGTTATCACTGGATTGAACTCTCCATTATTTACTGTGTTATTATTCCCTGCACCTGCCTCACCATTAACACTTTTCATGTTGTGTTTCAAATATGCTTTTCAACGTCTTTTCCTCCCATAAGACTGTAAACACGGTGAAGGCAGGAACTGTCCCTTGGCCATCTTTGTATTCCCGGGCTTAATGCTGTACTTCTTGCTCTAAGGAGTCTAAACATGATCAGACATCAAAGGTAGTCTTCTAGTTCCACCATAGTGTGAAGGTAAATCAAGTTCTGGGCAAAGGGGTGTAAGGCCAAATCATTACACAGTCATGCATGTGGGCAGTAAACATGCCAGTTCCAAGTGTTGACGTGGATGTCTGCCTGTCAAATTAAGTGGTTTAAACATTCAGTGAGTTTAACGTCATTCAGTTAACTCTCCCAGTGTCAGATGGTTGAAACGCCTAGAAATGAACATAATTAACATCGGCTCCATCCATTTACATTACATTCTTGTTTCTCTATATTTTTCAAGCATTATGGAAAGTTTCGTAGTTTGGAAATTTGACTTTTTTTTTTTTGCGGTACGCGGGCCTCTCGCTGTTGTGGCCTCTCCAGTTGCGGAGCACAGGCTCCGGACGTGCAGGCTCAGCGGCCATGGCTCATGGGCCCAGCTGCTCCGCGGCATGTGGGATCTTCCCGGACCGGGGCACGAACCCGTGTCCCCTGCATCGGCAGGCTGACTCTCAACCACTGCGCCACAAGGGAAGCCCCTTGACTTTCTTAAGTTCCATAGAGGAACAGTCTTACTGGGATTGATAGTTCACTAACAGATTTTTAACGAATTCTTTGCTCATTTCTCCTTTTTCTCTTTTCACAAAAGGAGCTGGTGGCTGGTCTCCACTTGTGTCAAACAAATACCAGTGGTTGCAGATTGACCTTGGAGAGAGAATGGAGATCACCGCTGTGGCCACCCAAGGGGGATATGGGAGCTCCAACTGGGTGACCAGCTACCTCCTAATGTTCAGTGACAGTGGCAGGAACTGGAAACAGTATCGACAAGAGGACAGTATCTGGGTATGTTTCTTCAACAGAATTCATAGCCTCTCAGAGAGAGAAGTAGAGTCATCCCTACATGCTGTTTATGAATCTCTTAAACTAAGTTTAGAAACAGAATCTTCAGAATTACTTAGAAAACATTTTTCAAGAGAAAATGTATTACTATTCATTTTCTAATACATTTTATGGTTTAATTTATGAAAATACTAAAGGTAAACTTATTTCGCAGAGTCCTCAGAAATTGAAAAAAAATCTCATTAGTGCACTAAATAGTGTGGAAGTTAAAGAAAGAAACTAAACCTATATAAAAACATTTTAAGTTTTGTTCAATAACATAGTAGTTTTGCATTGTCTTTAAGATTGTTGAAAAGAATTTATTGCTTTTATTTCTTCTGATGACTGAGATTTATGGATTAATCTCTCTAGTATATGGAGGTTTTTATGTATAATATTTGGAATATTTATATATGTATTTTATATATACACACACATATATGATTTATATATAAACCATTCTCTAGTCTTTCAAGTGTGTAAGATGCTGTGTTTTGTGGACAGGGCACAGCTCCTGTAAGGGAGACTGACAAGGAGGCCGTTTGTAATAAAGTGGGTGGTATTTGTAGTTGACTGACGGTATATAAACACCCAGTGGAAGAGGGAAGCTAAAGGAAGTTTGCTTGGTGGTGATGAAAGGATTTCTTTTTTTAGTGTAGAAAAGTATTGGTTTGGATCTTATGGGGGCCAGGGACAACATACTGCAATCAAAGAACTGTGTTTTTTTTGGTTTTTAATTTTCCTCTGACTGAGCTGCTGGAACCAGAGAAAATGAGTAACTTAATGAAGCCTCATTCTTGGCACACAGATAATTTGGAGGCCTATCTGGGCACATAATGGTAATTCTGTTTGATCAGTCAATGGCCTCTCTTTTGAAACTTCCTAGAAGTCCGTTATACATGATACAGTCGTTGAAGAAATGGACTGTGATTTACTCACCTTTTTATCTCTAAAGTACTTGGTGGTCATCCAGTGCATGTTTATTGATGTAAATTGAATTGAGAAGATGTAGCCCTGCTCGTTCTCAAGCAAGGACAGCAGTCAGGCTGGAAGAAGTTTTCTATAAGCATTTTTAAGAAAACCTGCATTAAAATCCAAAGCAAGTTGAAGTTCTGTATAAGAGCGAGAAAAATTGGATATTATGGTTGAATTAGTTCCATGAAAACCATTCAAAGTAGGGATAAAATAAACAGTAATTATGAACCAATAGCAATGAAAGCTTAATGAGGTATTTATCTTAACTAGGTGTCTGGGTTATCTTTTACTCTTTTTTTCGCAATAAGCATTGGATTTTAAACTAGATAAATGGCGGCTAATTCGTGCTAATATTTAGCTGTGTTAAGTAAGATGTATGTTTTTGATATTTTAAAAAAATTTTTAATATTAACTATGACAATTAATTGTTTTTCGTGGTTCAAGCTTGAGGAAAGCGAAACCTAGATAGTGCTATTTGTCTTTTTCACTTATTAAAGGTGAGGTGCTCAGGGTGCAATAGTGACGTGAATGATATCCTTCACTAGTCCAAACCAATCAATGTAAAGACAAATGGCATCGATCACAATTACCTGGCTAGGTAACATTGTTTTTTAGACTGTGCTATCATTTGTTGGTTTACTCATTGTTTTCCCCTTTGGCGTGTGAGCACCCTGGAAATAGAGGCTCTACCTTCCAACCTGTCATCCCAGTATCCCCAATCTTAACAGTACCTGGCATGTTGCCTGCAATTACTAAATGTTTGTTGAATGAATGAATGAATGAGGGAAAGAGTGAATGAACCAATAAATGAAATGCTCTTTCTTGTAGGATACTTTCATGATCACACAACTAAAAGTGACCCCTTCCTCCACCCATCAACTCCTCCTTTTAGTACATTTATATGGTACCAGATTAATGTACTTTAGAGTTAGAAGGCTACATTTCTCTCTCCCCTATACATTTTGAACTTTTTCATGGGAAAAGGTTTATCTTTCTCATCTTTGCATTTCCAGCACTCAACACCCAGTGTGGCACATCACTTGTTGAGTAAATTAGTGAAAAAAAATCAATCAATGAATAGATTTGAATACATTGATCTCCTAATCAGTGCCTAACTTTGTACGAAATTCTGTATTAAAAGAGCTCAAAGCGAGAGAGAGGCATGGACATATATACACGACCAAATGTAAAATAGCTAGCTAGTGGGAAGCAGCCGCATAGCACAGGGAGATCAGCTCGGTGCTTTGTGACCACCTGGAGGGGTGGGATAGGGAGGGTGGGAGGGAGGGAGACGCAAGCGGGAAGAGATATGGGGTTATATGTATATGTATAGCTGATTCACTTTGTTATAAAGCAGAAACTAACACACCATTGTAAAGCAATTATACTCCAATAAAGATGCTAATAAAAAAAGGGTTAATGTTGTTGAAAAGATAAAAAACATCAGAACAAACCAAAGAGTGAGTCAGAGGAGCGTGCAAATGTGTGGTACAGACTCCTAGGGCTTTGGAAATTGACAGAATATGGAGATCACTGTAGAATGAATTTGTCAAAAAAAGCAGGGCTTACATGGGTCTTGAAAAAAGCATTAAAACTTAGATTATGGAAGGATTAAGGAAGCAATTCCATGAAGCTGGAAAAGTGTGAACAAAAGAACGGACATTGGCATTATCCAGAGATATGGTTTCCCATGTAGTAACCAGTGAGACTGTGGTCGGAATGGACTATCAAGTTTGGTAAGGACCGGACTATAATTTTGAATATGGTAAAGAAAGTAGATGAATGTCAAGATCAGAATTGAGACTTGGTGCAGCTGGTGCCATGGCCACACATAAAACGGGTAAGGTTATGGTGTAGGTAAAACAGCCTCAAATCTTCAGACTTTGTTGATAAAGTAGACACACACACACACTCTCTCTCTCTCTCTCTCTCTCTCTCTCTCTCTCTCTCATGCTACCTGTTCATCCCAGATAGGCTAATAGTTCTATTTCTACCCCACAGTTACTCAGGTCTCACTCTGAGGGAAGCTCCCTCTCTGTGAATCTGTAATTGCCAACGCAGGAAAAGTGAAACACAGCGAATTGTGCCCTGGCTCTTGACATTTTCACCTGGTATAACACAGATCACTTTAATTTGTTTTTTGGTTTTTATTTTTAGCCAAAGAACAATTTTTAATTGATGTTCATAGTAAAGAATTTAACCCTTTGTCACATTTTACAAATGTGTTTCCTGACTTTATTTTTTTTTGCCCAGTTTTTCTAGATATTATGGGATGTATCCAGATTATATAAAACTTGCCAGTTTTCTTTCAGAGCTTCACAGTCTGCTCCAGATGATACAAATAAATCTGTGAAAGAGAGTTAGGAAACAGCTAAGGCATTATACGAGTATGTGATGGAAACAGGAAGAAAAGGCAGTTGTTACAAGTTTAGAGACAAATAAAATAAAACCCATCGATATGGATGGAAATGCTGCCGTGAGGATTCCTCATTCTTCCTTTATTTATTCCTCTTCAAGCACTAGAGAGAACAGTGATTTCTATATACCTGAAAGAATTACTCAAATGCCCTGCTGCTTTTTAAAAATAATCTTTAAAAAGAAAGGCAAAATGTTCTGTTATCTATGTGGCCATGCATATATTTAATAGAACTGTAAACTTGAGAGATATATGATATTTTTAGAAATTATTCTTTGGAATAAAATTTATAGTCCAGTGCTCACAAATGTAATTTATACAAAGTACTCTACTAGATAGCATATAAATATTTTACAAAAACTTAGAAATGCAAGCTACTGAAATTGTTCCTCTCAAAGTGAAGACAAAATAAATTCTCTCAACATCCATGATCAAAAGACTTTTCAGCCAGTTTACTGTAAATGATTGGAAAAGGAAATGTAAGGTATAATTTTCACTCATCTAAGAACAATTGCTGAAACTTCATGAAACGAACATCTTAGAAATTATTTTAAGCAAATCAACATGTGCAGGAACTTTACAGCCGAACTATACAAATTCTCTCTGATATATGCTCAAGCTTCTTTTACACTGCAGACTATAAGGGCAAGGAATGGGATGGTACTCATTTTATGAATTATTTAAGTAAATATGATTGTTATGCACGATAGTTTACTTTTTTTTAATGTGTCAGGTGCTATTTTTTTTAACATCTTTATAGGAGTATACTTGGTTTACAATGGTGTGTTAGTTTCTGCTGTATAACAAAGTGAATCAGCTATACATATACATATATCCTCCCTCTGGATTTCAATTGTATCTGATTTTTCAAACAAAAAACCCATACTTTCATATTAGCATATTTCTGAAGTTAGTATAACTATTTTTTAATTAGAAGTGTTGAGTGTCATGGTTCTGGGTTTGGCTGGTGAAAGACACGGAGCCCCTATGATAACTATGGTCAATTAGACATAAGCATCACCTGTCACAAAATATTCACAGCATTATTATCACTGTGAATGATTGAGTTGTCAACTCCATAAGCCAAACAGGGCAGAAGCACCACCTGCAAATATTTTAACATGTATTTATCTCCAGTCAAATAAATAGGTGACTGAGGGCATTTAACAGGAAACCCAAGGAGGCAGAAATACAAGTGGGAGGTGTGTGGTAAGACTGGTGGACTCCTCGCCTTGTGAGGTGCACCTTCCTAGACCTTTCCCTGTGCTATTCTAGTATTCTAAGCCTTCAGAAGTCATGTGTGTTGATATAAAGTGTAACAGTGCTGATGCTGTGTATGTCAGCATGTCAAGTCATCAAGCATAATACTTTGCAGTTCTTGGCTCAGTACTTGGGCAGATGCCTGGAGGGTGCCTTAAGCTGCTTCAGCCTTTCAACACTGCCTCTACTTGAGTGCCAAAAGGATGTTTTTATTGGAAGTCTATTTTATTAGCCTTTATCCACAGGGAATCTCCTATTTACATTTCTATTTAACTGTAAGTTCTCCACCCTTTTGAAAATGATGAACCTAGGA